TGTGGCAAGACTAGAAGCAATTCGCATCTTTCTGGCATATGCTGCTTATAGAGGGTATAAGGTGTTTCAAATGGATGTGAAGTCAGCCTTCTTGAATGGCAAAATCAAAGAAGAAGTCTATGTCAAGCAACCACCTGGGTTTGAAAGTGAGAAGTATCCTAACCATGTATATTTCCTAGACAAAAGCTCTGTATGGCCTCAAACAGGCTCCCAGGGCATGGTATGAACGCTTGTCTACTTTTCTTACTACAAATGGTTTCCATAGAGATACAACTGAAATTACTTTGTTCTATAAGAAACAAAATGAAGATATTCTGCTTGTACAAATATATGTTGATGACATTGTCTTTGGTTTAACTGATGTTTCTATGTGCAACGAGTTTGAGTTTCTGATGCAAAGTGAGTTTGAAATGAGCATGATGGGAGAGCTAACCTTCTTCTTAGGTCTACAAGTCAAGCAATCCTCTGAAGGAATCTTTATTAATCAATCTAAATATGTGCATGACCTTTTGAGGAAGTACAAGATGCATGATACCTCTCCCATGAGGACACCCCCTGGCCAGAAGCTTCATAAAGACATAAATGGTCCTTCTGTAGAATGCAAACTCTACAGAGGTATGATTGGATCTCTGCTATATCTCACTGCAAGTAGGCATGATATCATGTTTTCAACATGCATTTGTGCTAGGTATCAGGCAAACCCCAAAGAATCCCATCTAAGTGCAGTGAAGAGAATCTTAAGATATTTAAATAAGACACCAACTCTGGGACTCTGGTATCCTATGCACTCCAACATTGATCTCGTGGCTTACACTGATTCAGACTATGGTAGATGTCAAATCGACAGAAAGAGTACCTCTGGAAGCTGTCAATTTCTTGGAGGAAAGCTTGTTAGTTTGTCTTCAAAGAAGCAGAATTGTGTATCAACTTCCACGACAGGGGCTGAATATGTAGTCGTTGCAAGTTGTTGCTCAAAAGCTTTGTGGATGCAGACTCAGCTACGCGATTATGGCTACTCTGTTGACAAGATCCCCATTCTCTGTGATTCTAAGAGTGCAATTGCAATATCAGCCAATCCTGTGCAACAATAAAAAATAAAGCATATCGATATAAGTTACCAGTTCTTAAAACATCATGTAGAAGAAGGTAATGTCGAACTATACTTTGTCAAATCTGAATTTCAATTGGCTGATCTCTTTACAAAAGCCCTTGATGAGAAAAGATTCAACTTCCTTATTGAAAAAATAGGAATGGCATGCCCAGAGTTCTAAGTGTTGTATGTCTTACTTTTAATAATCTCTTTTTGTATGTAGTTTTACTTCTTGGTTAACCTTCACTTGTTTTCTTAGTTAGCAGGTTTACCTCGCAGAGATATGCAAGGTTTGAGGGGGAGTATATGCTTATAAGAAATAAAACCTATTGAAGATGAAAAACGTCTTTCATCACAGAAGTCTTTTCACAGATCCTCTGTGATAACTCTTAGAGGCTCTTTGAACAGGTCCTCTGTCGGTACTTCTTCTTAGGATTTTTAAATGGTTTTTGTTTTGAGGGGGAGCCATGGAAACTGGCTTATAGGGGGAGTTTTGAATTGAAAATCAAAACCTCAGAAGGTGCCAAAATTTTTGAAGTATCTTGATCTCAGAGGTCAACCCATCAGAACCTCTGGCGCTTCTTTTAGAGGTTCTGTGGGTCTGAACTGAGCAAGTGCTCGGTTTACAAAGGTGTAACATGTTAGAAGGCCCCGCACATATCACAGAGGCTCTATTACCCTTAGGTCTCTGACAAAACTCTCTTCTATAGTTTTGTATTATTGATATGGTGCGTGTGGTTCTGTGGATAAGGGTTAAAGTTGACCACGCACGTGTTAGAAACGGGGGCGCACGTCATCAATCGTGCGTCTTCCCAACACCACGTGACATATTTTGATTTGTCTCTCCCATAAACCACTCATCACGATATATAGCCAAATAAACGGTTCACATTCAAAATTCGTCACTATAAATACTCTTCCCCCCATCATAAACCCCTTCACTTCTCTAAATACTCCTCCAGCGAAATCTCAATCTTCCCGACAACCTGCAACTATGTCTTCAAGCTCAGCATCTGCCTCCGCTCAATTCTAAAACAACCCAAGCAATGATGAAGTGAACCAATCTTAGGCACTGACCTCTCATGCCATATCTTTTTACAGAATCGATATGAGAAAGTGATGCTGGTAAAGAGACCTAACAACTACTACTTCGCTCCATCCCCAAATGGCTTCCCTGAATACACTTATCCACTATTGGAAATCCTTCGCAACCATCCCATCTATTATGCACTCACTGCAACAAAACCTACCCCTGAAACCTATCTCACCCAATTTCTTCTCAGTTCGTACATCTGCACCCTGAAAGATGCTGGATTAAGCATAGTGGGCTATGCTTCACACCCAAGAATCAAATCCCTTATACAAATGGAGATGAACGTCGAAACCCTGCGTGTTGCCCTGCACCTACCTACTCTGGACGATATTCATTTGGATGCCTTTGCACCAACTCCAACAGATGCGGAATTGACCGAATTCCTCGAATTCCACTCATACACGGCAAAGACGAAAATCGTCAAACGGACTGAATTGAAGAGGGAGGCCTTCCTCCTATGTGGAATACTCTGTTTTCAATCATCAACTGTTGCTTAACGGGGAAGGTCGGCAGCCACGATCAAGCATCTCATGCCATGCTCTCCATTGTCTATGGAATATACTTCAACTTGCCTCTGGATTACGCACAACTCATCTTTTATGATATGGTAGGCCTAATCAAGAAAAAATATGCTACTCAACGGGGTGAAGAAATCGAAGGTAAAAGCACTGAAGAAAGCCAAGGAAGACCTCAATCACCCAAACTTGATCTTACAAAGGTTCTTCGGCTTGGTCTTTGGAGACATGATTGCAGAGAAGCTGCCCTCTGCAGAGCCGAATGCTCGCTTAAACCCAATGAAGGAGTTTCATCCAATAGAGCATGAGTTAGGTTACAGAAGCCCGAGGCCATTATCAAAAGCTATGCTCAAGTACCTTAGCAAGGGAGATATGAAGGATTATAGACGTGGATATAGGAGGCCAGAGCCGGTCCCTGAAACGCCTCCACGAACAGGTATCCCCGTAGGTGAGAGAGTGCATAAAATGAGAGTTGAGAAAAGATTGGAGGTGCCTGCAGATGCAGAGAGCTGAGTGAGGAAGGACGGAGAGTAGTTAGTAGTCCCCCTCGAAGGCCAAAGAAGTCTAAGAAGAGTCACAAGGATGCCGATCCTTCTGAGAAAAAGAAAGGGAAAAAGAGACCCATAGAAGAAGAGGGTCCAAACAATCCTCTGCCAAAACCCAAAAAGAAGAAATCAAAGAAGGCCCAACCTACAGAGGTTGAGGTCACAGAGGCCGAGGTTCAAGAAGGCCCGACAGAGGCTGTACATAAGCGCAGAAGGTTCCGCAAAGTTGTTCGAGAAGAGTCCCCCTCTGAGAAAATACAAGATATAATCTTCAATCTCCAACAGAGTTTTACAGCACCCATAGAGGTAGTAAATTTGGGGACAGAAGTCGTTTTAGACAAAAAAGAGGAAGAAGTGGAGTTAGATGAGGGTGAAAAAGATGCCGAAGGCACACATCCAAGCCCCCCTCCCTGTGCAACCCACATATCTAGGGACTCTGTTCTAGAGGGAACCCCTATTAAAGAAAGCATGCACACGCTGAACCCTGAACCAACTAACCTCGCAGAGGACATTCTTTCGTCCTCTGTCGAATGCACAAACTAGGAGCCATATTCTACTCCATCATCCTCTCAAAAGGATGGTAGTTTTATCAAAAGAGTCCGTTCACCCAAGGACTCGACACAACCAAGGGAGGCATCCGTTGCCCCTCCACACGTGAGTGAACCACCCAGTCATGCTTCAGAGGCATGCGAGAGAATCATCGAGGTTGTGGGTCTAAAACGCCCAAAGTCTCCACTCGATCCCTCTGCCGAGTTAGGCTCTGAACCTATTAGGCACGAAATTGACCGAATACCGGTAGGCTCTCCAATTAGGGATGTCCGAGGATCTGGTGGAAGTCCCCGAGATGACAACGCCAAATCAGTCACTGAGGGCGCCTTACACTCAAAGGCTACTAGGTCACCATGTGTTGGTGATCTAGGTTTCCCGAGGGCCTATGTGACGAAGGAGGAGTTGCAAACCTTCGCCACAGTGGTATTCTAGAGGTTGGATGAGTTGAAAAGCTTGTTCTCCTCCTCTTCGGCGACAGAGGCTCTTACACCTCTAACAGAGGCTCCGAAGGAGTTGACTTCTACAACTTCTGAACTCAAGGCGACCTTATCAGCCCTTCAGAGCTCTGTCCTCAAAAAGGATGATCTCACAGAAGCCTTCAGCACGCTGTCTCTCAATCCTTCTTCCATCAACACTCTAAAGACAGAACTGACATAGGTCGCCGCCCAATACGCTGCAGACATAGTTTCTGCCAGCTACACAGACTACTCCGCCTTCAAGAATGAAATCAAAGAGATGTTCTCTTCTGCGATCACTGTTGGTGTCGACTCCTCATCCTCCAGGGCTAACATTAACCATCTAGCCACTCGCGGAGAGCTAGACGCAATGGTTGAGGCTCTTGGAGAGACCTTGCGGAAACACCAAAACCATCTTCTCAAAGAGGCCATAGCTACTAACGAATCGATCAGAGACTGCACGAAACAACTCGTCAAAGAAGGTGACTCATTTCGAAATGAAATCTATTGCTGCGTCTCTAAAATGAAATGGGCCACAGAGATGGATATCAACACCGCCACTCTGAATGCTGAAATGGTAATAGAGAAGATGTAGAAGGCAGCATCCGGAGTTCTCAGGCGCTTGAAGAATGCTCCCCTCACCCCATAAAAGATAGAGGCTCGGATGAAGAAAGGAAGAGCTCTCATCCCCAAAATCAGAGAAGGCTCTTCTAAACTTGCAAAGATACCAGAAGAAACGTCCACGGGTACGTTCGACGCTCTTGTAGGAACAGTCAAACCAATCCTACCGGAGGGGTCTACCTAGAGGCCTATACTCGAAGAAGACACCAGAACGCCAGAGTCTGCCACAGTGGGGAGGGTTTCTGAAATTATTGACTCGATGAACAAGATTCCTACGCAGAAGATGCGTACAGAGCCTGTAACCACTGTCGAAGAGATTCTATGGTGGCGTTACTCATCCATAGACACAGAGCCCCCATACGATCCAGAGCTAACCGGAATGCCCTATGTCGAAGCAAAATTTCACTTCACTAAACTCACCAAGCCACCAAAGTAGGTCTTCTCAGAGCATGTTATTCGTTCACTAGAAACCATTTCTCCGTGCACCATGCTGAAGAAGACCGTGCTATACTCTCAATATACGATGAAGAGGGATGATGGCAACCTATACACTTTCACAGATGCTGACCTCCATAATCTCTGTGTATTTGATCTAATCTTCTTGCACAAGATCCTAAACAAGTACATGGAGAAGAGGTTAAGGTACTCGATTTCTCTCAGAAGGCTGATAGAGGTAATGCATGCTCAAGTTAAATTCTATAGCCAGAAAGACTTCGATATTGCGATGAGGTTGGCCCAGCCAGAGCTAAAGATTTCTCCTCCAAAGAACAGACCTATTTGGCTGCAAAGGTTCCATCCCAACACTATTATCCACAATCCCATCTTTGGGTTTGTTTTCTTGGATAAGGATGAGATCCTAAGATTCTTCAATCCAAAAGAGGTGCACAAGTATTCAACAGAGTCCCTCGAATGGGTGTTCAACTTGGTGGTGGCAGAGGTGCAGAAAGGGCGAATAAGGGTGGATGAAGTAACGAACCTTCTGGAGATTATCAAAATACAAGTCTCATTCAGGGAATGGATATTCAAGGTCTACAAGACTGTCAAGACTGATTTGTAATATGCTGTAGACGACTATCCAGACTCTGCTGTTGAGTAATCTCTTGTAATAGTATAGGCCTGCACAATTCAATTTTTACTTCTTTCAATAATGTAAATTTTTTAGAGGATGAGATTATTCTCCTCTTGTATTTTTTCCTTTAGTCATTTCTTGCACCCAACTGTCC